GTGTTCCAACTACAAAAATAACCTCCGCATCAGTCATGGTGGCCTTTGAAATGCTGAAAAATGTCTTTGTGTCTGGTAAAGGTCTGGCTGCATCTCTACAGGGTATCATACAGCCAGTATCCATCCCTGAAAATTTGGGTATGTTCGGTCTTGGATTCAAACCTACAGCGGTAAATGTGAAAAGGGCTAAAAGGTTGAAACAGAAGGTGTGGGCACTTCCAAAGCCCATTCCGCGTCTCTCCAGGTCTTTTGTCAAGCCGAGTGCCAGGAAACGCCCAGTGACGACAGTCTCAAGTTCTATGGTTAACATTGATGAGGAGTTAATTGAAAGGTTCCAGAGGTTGTTTGATGATGTGAACATAGTAGAAGGTGGTAAAGGTTATAGCAAAGCGGACGTGCAGTTCGTCGGGCCGAATGTAAAGCTTAACAATTGTAAGGCTACTCCTCTCCTTACCCGGAAGGAGTCTTGGTAGTTTGTTTTGTTTTCCTTTCTATATGGGTCATTCTAGGGTTATGACCCAGACTTTTATTTTCCGCTTGTTGATGTACAAACCATGTTATCCTTTATTTTAGTGAAATGCAATTTCCCTTTCCATCACTCCTGATAGTTTTATTTTTCGTGTGGTGACGAGTACCTATGCGTCGCCAGATTATCTTTTTAGCATGTTCCATTCCCCATTCCTAGTATATTGTTTTTCTGTCTTAATTGCTACTTGCTTATTGATGCTTCCATTTCTAATTGCTTCTTGTTAAATGTTGTTTCTCTATGGAAGGTATTAATTTTTCCGTGTTTTCATTATATTAAATTGTTGGTTTAAGTTGGTTTATTGGTGCTTCATGGTACACTTGGGTTGGTCTCGCTATGTAGTATTAACTGATGAAGTTTTATAATTGTATAGATTTCCCGTTGTTTTGGTTTAAGGCATAAATGTTGTGGAGGGTTTTGAGATAAATTGTGAAATACTTGTTCTTATTTTGTGATTGATACTGATATGGTAGGATCGGGTTGCACGCCTCAATAGGAGGAATAAGGGTGAAATGTGATTGTCTGGTGGGATCGGGTTACGCGCCGCAACAAAAAGTAATAAGGGTGGACAGGTGGGATTGGGTTTCACGCCGCAACAGGAGGAATAAAGGTGATATATTGAGGAGTAATAAGGGTGGACTGGTAGGATCTGGTTGCACGCCGCAGCAAGGAGTAATAAGGGTGAATGTTCATATTGTTATTTGTTATATGGTGGGATTGATATGCGCACCGCATCATTTTGTTGTTTATGGATTCTTCCTCTATTGTGATTTTAATCTGTGGTATTGTAACTCTCTTAAGGATTGGTTATAGGTGAGTACTGGCGTATTATTTGGGTTCCGTATTTATTTGTTGCAAGTTACTGTTCCATTTTTTTTCGTATTTCCTTTTTGCTTTATTATATACTGTAGCAGGTTATACTGTATATGCCCCGCCATAGCCTCGTCAGTACCTCATCGAGTTTAGACTCGACACTTACCAGTACATGGGGTCTGTTGTACTGATACTGCACTCTGCACTTTCTGTGCAAATTTTGGAGCTGGTTATGGCTGATCGAGAGGTCGGTTGCAGGCATTCACCTAGGAGACCCAAGGTAATCCTGCAGGCGTCCACAGGTCCTGTCATCCCCTCCTATGTTTTCCTCATTTTTGTTTTAATTTCTTTCGAGGCAGATGTATTTTTCTTTCAAACCCATACTTGTCATTATTCATAGAATGTTCGTGAGTTGTGACACCAGTTTCTGGTTGGTAATTGTTTCAGTTTTGTTAATGGCATAAGGATAATCAGTTAATTTTGTACTTTTGCTTTTATTTCCGTTGATTTAGTTTTGTTAAATCTTAATTATAAAATGAAATGTAAAAAGGTGAATAGGACTCTAACTTTGGCTTGCCTAACGAATGTGATGTTAGGCGCCATTACGGTCCCGACGGTGGGAACTTCGGGTCGTGACAATGGGTCATTCTGGATAGGTTGACCAACTTGCTGCATTTTATTTCAGTGATGGCTACCTATTCTTCAGAGCAGTTGGCTTAGATCTATATCTGGGAGATTGTTTGTCTCCATGGTGTGCCAGTGTCTATTATCTCCGACCGAGGCATATAGTTCACATCGCATTTCTGGAAAGTTGTATAGTGGGAGTTAAGTACACGGATTGAGTTGAGTACAGCATTTCACCCCTAGACAAATGGGCAGTCTGAGCACACCATTCATATTTTTGAGGACATGCTTCACACTTGTGTTATGGATTTTGGGGGTTCTTGGGATCAATTCTTACCGCTTATGGAGATTACCTACAATAATAACTAACAATCGAGTATTTAGATGGCTCCTTTTGAGGCCTTATATTAGAGGCGGTGTCATTCCCTAGTTGATTGGTTTGAGCCATGAGAGATTAGGTTGTTGGGCACTGATTTGGTTTGGGATGCCTTAGAGAGAGTCAAGTTAATTCAGGATCATCTTCGTACAGCCCAGTCTAGGCAGAAGATTTACGGTGATTGGAGGGCTCGTGATGTAGCATTCATGGTGGGAGAGAGGGTTTTGCTGCGGGTTTCACCCATGAATGATGTGATGAGGTTCGGGAATAAGGGTAAGTTGAGCCCTAGGCATATTGGTCCCTTTGATATCCTTGAGAGAGTTGGTGAGGTGGCCTATAGACTTGCATTGCAACCCATCTTATCGACATTTCACCTGGTGTTCCATCTTTTCATGCTCCAGAAGTATCATGGAGATCCTTTCGATGTATTAGATTTCATATCAGTCCAATTGGACAAGGATTTAACTTATGAGTAGTAGCCGGTGGCTATTCTAGCCCGACGGGTCCAGAAGTTGAGGTCTAAGTATTATCCTTCTATTAGAATGTAGTGGAGAGGTCAGCCGATCGAGGCACCTATGTGGGAGTCGGAGTCCGATATGCGGACTAGATACCCACACCTTTTTACTAGTCCAAGTACTTTTCTATGCACATTCAAGAACATTTCTTTTAGAAGTGAGGAATGTGATGACCCGCTAGGTCATTTTCTGTACTAGCTCTTATTTCCATATTTCGAGACCTCTATTAGCTCCATTTAATATTTCTCGATATGTGTGTGTAGTCCGTGTCTTTTCTGAAAAGTTTTTATGTGAAACTTTGAAGAAAACATGAATTTAAGCTTTTAAAAATAACTTGAGTTGACTACGGTCAATATTTTGTGTAAACAGATTGGTATTTTGATGATCCTGGTGGGTCCATACTGTGATTTTTGACTTGGGAGTATGCCCTGAATTAAATTCGGAAGTTCCTAACTTGATTTGACTTGTTTTGCTGAAAGCTAGTAATTTGAAGGTTTAGAAAATTCCTCGGTCTGACCGTAGGTTGACTTTGTGGTTATCAGATTCGGATCTTTTTGTCGAGACTTGGTATAGGTTTATTTTCTATTTGAAACTTGTCTGCAAAATCCTGTGCAAAACGAAGTTGGTTTGATAGGATTCGGACACTCGGTTGTGATTTTTCAAAGTTCTTGAGTTTCTTTTGAAGATTTCATGCATTTTGATGTCCGATTCATAGTTCTAGGTGTTATTTTGGTATTTTAATTGCACATGATAGTTTGTATGATGTTATTACACTTATGTGCATGTTTGGTTTGGAGCCCGGGGGGCTCGAGTGGGTTCGGATAGTCTATAGATCATTTTAAACTTAGAAAGTTGTTGGTTTTCAATTGTTGCTAGTGTTTGATGCTTTGTGCTTTACGATCGCCAAGTAACTCTCAAGATCACAAAGGGGAAATGGGGATGGGGCAGAATTTCTTCTATGCGAACGTGAAGTAGCGGGGGGTTTACCCTTCTCGAACGCAATAGGTTATGGGATTTGGGGGCAGGTTCGGCAGTAACTCTATGCGAACGCAAGCGTTGGCTCGCGAATGCGAAGGCAAAGGGGGGAGCTAAGCCTTCGCGAATGAGAAGGGTTGATCGCGATTGTGATGGCCATTTGGCCAGTGTTCTTCGCGATCTGGTGACCCCTCCATTTTCAATCTCACAAGTTGTAAACAATTCCACAATTTCAGCCCAAGCCAATCGTCATTCCAATTTAAGGACCATGTCCTTCCATCCTTGTAATTCCAATTTTTCCATTAACAAAACCATCACTTCTTTCTCTACATCTCGAAGAAGACTACCCTTCAAAATAGTTCTTTTCTAGACTTTCGTCAGCTTATCTTCCTCCACATCAGTCTCTTCTTCACTTTCTTCCTCAACTACTTGAACATTCTTTGCTTTCTAGTAAACCTGGTTCTTTTGGACAAAATAGAGTCTCTACCTCAGAAACCTTTCTTTTCTTAGCACTAGGAGTGGGTACTTCCACCTCCTTTGTCTCATCCTGATCTTGAAGGACCAGGTCCATTACCTCTATCTGAATTTCCTCACTTATTTCTCCAACTTTCTTCTTCCCCTTGGCAGCAGCCTTCTTGGCACTCTCAGCTAAGGCATTTTCAAGTTGGCTTCACTCTGCTTATCTATCTCCTTGTAGTTCTTCCTCTTGTGGAAGGAGTCTCCATAGGGATAGAAGAGGCAGTATTTCTCTTCTTGCCATCCATACCCTTTCCAGGGGTTTTATCACCGGAACTCTTCTTCTTTTGGGGGTAGCTATAAATACTTTCTGCAACAAGTTATGAAGTGGTTCTTTCCTAGAAGAAACAGGTTATTGGAACTATTTCCTTAATGTTACCAACCCTTTTAGTTGCAGTGGTGTCATCAAATCCACTCCCTCATTCCCTTTCAATAATTCCTTCCTCATCAGCACTCTCTTCACTCCATAACACCATTGTATATGTTTCTTCATCCAGCCCAACAAAAGTAGGTGAAGTATATCCAGGCACTCTTTCTTCTTCCCTTCCTCTCACATCTGCTTCAACACCCTCACTCTTTTTTTTTTCTTTTTCATTTTTCTGTACCAACAGTCTCTACACCAGTAATAGAACCAATCAACACCAACCTAGTTTCAAGATTTTTTGCAACTATAGAACCAACAACAGAAGATTTTAACCCAGAAGTTACTTGTTCAGTTTCAGATGAAACTGGTTCTTCCTCCTCGGTCGCAGATTGAAAAGAATCATTAGATTTTTTAGTTTCTTCTGCTTGACTAGCCTTTAATTTGTTTAACTTCTTGGATTATTCTTTGCCTGATATTGTTTTACATGCCATCATTTTCACATGTTTTTTTCTTGGGGGCTTGGGTGGGTGAAGGTTCTTTGGGTGTTGAAGAAGGATTCTCATAATCTTTTGGGTTTTCAATTGTGTTTGCCATCTGATCAATTTAGAAAGTTGAAAGGATTTGAGAGAGATTTAAGGTTTTGGTGTTTTGATCTTTCAAAGGTTTGGAGAGAAGAAGAAGGGAAGTCGAATCAATTTGAAGAGGGAAGCGGATGGGTGTATAACGACAGCTTTTAGAGGTTAGAAGTCTTTTCACTTTGGGAGTATCATTTTGAAGAGGCGTTGGACTCCTTCTTAAAAATTTCGACAATTATGGTGCATGAGTATTGGGATGAAACCGGTTCATTTGTAATTGATTTATATAAAAAGCATTTTGGGATAAAGTAGAATTCTTTTTCAGATCATGATTCATATGAAGTTATTTAAACTTATGTGGGTTGTAGAACACATACCTTATAAGTTCGATGAACCAGGTTCTTCACTGAAAGTTCTCTTGTGTAAGATTAAATTTTCCAAGAAAGTAAGGGTAATATCATTAGACATCAGTGAATAATTTTAGTACATGGCACAAGAGTATACTAATAAAGGTATAAGACTGAGAAATATCTAATCTAATAATTTATAATTCATAGATTATCAAACCAATTATTGAGTTAGAACTTTTTAGGTGATCTTAATCAACCCTAATTCTAACATGTTCCTTTTAAAGTGATCCCTACTCAAATCTTTTGTGAAGATGTCAAAAATTTTCTTATCAGTACCATAAAATTTCATAGTGATCAAACCTTTCTCAAAATTATCCCTCAAAAAATGGTGCCTAACATCTTTGTGCTTAGTTCTTTTGTGATGAACCGGGTTCTTGGTCATACCGATTGCACTAGTATTGTCACAAAAGATATGGATACAACATACATCAATTCCAATGTCCATTAATTGTTTTTTAATCTACAACAATTGAGCACAACATAAGGTAGTAGCCACATACTTAGCTTCACCAGTAGATAAGACCATCAAATTTTTCTTTTTGGTGGCCCAAGACAAGACATGAGCCAAGAAAATATGTCATACTTGAAGTACTCTTTCTATCCACAAGAAAATATACATAATCAGCATCATCATATCCTACTAAGTCAAAATTACTACCTTTTGGATGTCATAGGCAAAGATCAGTTGTTCCTTTAAAGTATCTCAAGATCCTCTTGACAACCTTCAAGTTAGTCTCCTTTGGATTTGCCTTAAACCTAGCACAAAGGCCTACACTGAAAATAATTTCAGGTCTACTAGCAGTGAAATATAACAAAGAATAAATTATTCCCCTATACATTTTCTGATCAACAGATGAACCAGGTTCATCCAAATCCAATTTCTTGGATGTTGTTGTATAAGTGTCAATTTCTTTGGTATCTTTCATCCTAAACCTTTTGAGCAACTCTTTGGCATACTTTTATTGATGGATCATAGTTTTATCTGAATTTTATTTAATTTGGAGGCTTAAAAAGAAATTAAGCTCACTCATCATACTTATTTCAAATTCATACCCCATTAGCTTAGCAAACTCTTCACTTAACCTATCAGTTGTTGTTCTAAAGATTATATCATCAACATATATCTGAACAACCAAAAGATCTTTACCTTTTTCTTTCAAGAATAAAGTATTATTAATTTTACCTCTTTTGTAGTCATGCTCAAGCAGGAATTTGGACAATCTTTCCAACCATGCTCTTGGGGCCTGCTTAAGCCCCTAAAGTGCCTCGTCAAACTTGTACACATGCTCAGGACATTCCTTGCTTTCAAAGCCAGGAGGTTACTTGACAAACACTTTTTCCTTTATATAGCCATTGAGGAGGGTACTTTTGACATCCATCTGATAGAGAGTGAATTCCATGTAAGCAGCAAAGGCTATTAGGAGTCTAATTGCTTCCAATATTGCAATTGGAGAAAAAGTCTCATCGTAGTCTATGCTCCCCTCTTGACTATATCCTTGAACCACTAATCTTGACTTGTTCCTTAAAAATTTTCCTTCTTCATCAAGTTTATTCCTGAAGACCCATTTAGTGCCAATCATTATTATGTCCTTGGGTCTTGGTATCGGATGCCAAACGTAACTTCGCTCAAATTGGTTAAGTTCATTTTGCATTGTATTCACCCAATCTGCATCCAGCAAAGCATCATAAAAAATTTTAGGTTCAATAAAAGACAAGAAAACATCAAAAGCACAGATATTCTTTGAAGAAGATCTGGCTTTTATTCCAGAGATTGGATCGGTTATTATGTTCCCAATGGGATGAGAACTTTGATACTTGTAAGGTTTCACAACCAACTAGTTTTCTCTAGATGCTCCTTCATTGTTTTGTTGCTGAGTAACAAGTTCATGGATAGGTTCCCTCGAGGTTTGAGGATCAATTCCTCTCTGGTCAGTTCCCTCTGTCAGGTTGCCCTGGGTAGAAGGATTTGGTCCATCACTTGTTCCTTCTTGTGATACAGCTTCAGGGTGGAATGTGGCTTCATCATTTGAATGTCTTATCTGTCCAATCGCTTCATCATCTTGTTCCTGCCTTTCAGGAAAAATGTTAGTTTCATCAAAAGCAACATGTGTAGTTTCTTCTACACACATAGTTCTTTTATTGTATATCTTATATGCTTTACAATGTGAAAAATATTCCAAGAATACTCCCTCATCACTTCTGAGATCAACTTTCCTACAGAGTCTTTTTCATTATTATGAACAAAGCACTTGCATCCAAATGCAAGTAACTCATAGGGAGTTTTCTCCATAAGAGGTCTAGTCATGCACCTCTTTATGATGTAGCACGCAATGTTCACAACTTCTGCCTAGAATCTATGAGGCAACTTACTAGCAAGTAACATGGTCCTAGCCATTTTCTCTAAAGTCCTATTCTTTCTTTCATATTTCATTTTGTTGTGGAGTTCTAGGAGCAGAAAAATTATGATATGTGCTATTCTCATCACAAAATTCAGAAAACTTAGCATTCTCAAACTCAGTACCATGATCATACCTAATTGATGCAAGTTTATTACCTAGTTATTTTTGAGTTTTTCTAACAAATAAAGTGAATATGTCAAATGCTTCATCTTTAAATATTATAAATAGTGTCCAAGTAAATCTAGAATAATCATAAACAAGCACCATAACATATTTCTTAACATCTCTGCTCAAAGTCATCATTGGTCCACACAAATCATGGACATGTTCCATCGACCTGATAGTACTAGCATTTTCTTACTTGTGAAAGAAGATCTTACCTTACTTCCCCCTTCAATAAGCCTCACAAACTTTATCGTCCTTGAACTTACTGTTTGGCAACCCAACTTGGCAGCCTATTCTTCCCTGGAACAAAATGTTTGTTCCTTAAACTTGTTTTTTTTTTCTACACATTTACTTTTATAGTGTCCAGTGTTACCCCAGTCAGTGCAAATCTTGTTCAGGAAGTGTGAGGTACTTGCTTTCAGGATCCCATTTAGGTGCAAAGTTCCCAAAGCCAAATCTCTCTCTATTGCTACTATGTGTTCTTGTAGCAATGAAAGTGCATCAGAGGACCTGTTCCATTTACATGTTCTATCAAGCTCATGTTTAAACTTTGTAAAGTCCTCTTTCTAGACTCTTACCAGTTCATCCCTTTTGTGTAGCTCATCTTTTAACTTTCCTAATTCTTCTTCTAGTGTGAGTTGTGTGACACTAGTTATTTATTTATGTGTTCCTAACTTTAATTTCAGATTTTCAGATCTAAGTTCTAAGACAGTTGTATCAAGTGCATGAACCTGGTTCTTCAAAATGATATTTTCCTTTTCAGTTTCACCAGCCCTAATTTTCCCATTTTCGCACTCTGCTTTCAAAATGACACACTCATTTGATAGATGTTCCTTTTTAATACTTACATCTTCATACTCATCAATTAACTCCAGTAGCAATTCAGATAATCTTTCTTTATAAAGAAATTTGATTGTATCTTTTAATTGAAGGAAACTTACCTCAGCTTCTTCATCAGGTTCTTCTTCAAATTCTCCAATAGCCAGTAGAGCTCGTTCATCATCATCATCTTCATCAGAACCCTCATCTGAGCTATCTTCCTAAGTAGCGATCATTGCTTTGGTTGATCCTTTATTGTTGCTTTTTTGGGGTTAACCTTTTCCTTCTTCATGTTCATTTTTCCGCTCTTTTCTTTTTCCATTCAATCTCCCACAAAGGATAGTTCTTGATTATGTGATAAGCATTTCCACATTTGTAGCATCCATCAGTCATCTACTTTTCTGGAGCTTTGGCCTTGTTGTAGCTTCCCCTTCTTGAAGAACATTTTTCTCTCCTTAGGTACTTCTTGAAGTTTTTGGTGATCATTACTATCTTATCATCTTCTAAATCAGAACCTTCAGTGATTCTGAGTACCATACTCCTTTCCTTCTTAGGTACATCCATCTTCATGGTTTGCCTCTTGAGCTCATAAGCTTTGAGATTTTCAGTCAACTCATCCAAGAGAAGTGTAGCAATGTTCTTTGATTCCTGAATGGCAGGGATCTTGCTTTCTCAAGTGACTTGTAAAACTCTAGTTAGGATTTTTTCAACCCTTTCTTCTTTAGATGTAATCCTTCCATGAGACCTCAATTCATGTGTTAAGGTAGTGAACCTTGTATACATCTACTGAATGGTTTCTCCATCCTTCATAGCAAGATTTTCATATTGTGAAAACAACAATATTCCTCTTTGTGAGCACGTGATTTTTGCCCCATATGAATTACTCCCATAAATTCAAGAAAATATTTTTATTCTATTATTTGCAATTTCGTAGATTTTTTGTAGGATTTTTGTTAATTGTTTGCATTTTTCTATGCATGTTTGTTTTATTTAAATCATGAAAAATACAAAAAATATCATGCATGTGCATTTAGGTTTTATTTTTACATTTCTAGGTTAATTAGTAAATTATTTATTTTATTAAAAAATGAAATTACCAAAATGGTTTACTTTTGCATTTCTAGCCTTTTAATTTTAAATTAGTGGTTTCTTTTTTAATTTAGGAGTAATTAAATTTTATAAATATTATGGTGAATAATTAGCTTAATTGTGTAAGTTAATTTAGTTTAAGAGTTTAATTTAGGTTTTAATTAATTGAAAGGGAAAAGAAAACATTTATAAAAGGAAACAAAAAAGAGAAGAAAAATTGGGCATTTGATTTAAAGACCCAAAATTGGGCTAGGTCATTAAAAAACCCAAACCAACCCTTCTACCCGCCCAAGTCCACCACATACTTGGTCCAAGCCATTCAAGTATCAAGACAACTAAAACGACGTAATACGGGGGAATACTACGTCGTTTTGAGTTCAGGTGTTTAAAGAGATCCTGGCCCTTCAGCTTATTTCATCCAACGGCCAGGGAAGCCTCACCATTTTTGTTTAAAATTGTCTGAAGACCCCAGAACAACCTAGGACCACGATCAACTTCTCCTTCATCTCTCTCAAGCCAAGAACCCTACATCCGCTGCCCCCAAAAATCTCACCAGCCTAGCCGGTGGCGTAACCTCAATCTGACCCCAAATCTCTACCACACAACCACCACCTACCATCGATTCCTAGTCCACCACCTACCGTTAGGGGGGTCGGGTTCGAAGGAGACGATAATCTGGAAGAGGGGGGGCGTTGTTTGAGAGAAGATGTGCAGCTTTTCAGTCTTTTATTTCAGAGTCTTTTTTTTCTTTTTTTTCAGATTTTAAGCATTACCTTATATGTAGAGTCTAGGTTTAGGTGTATTTTTGTGTATTTTGCCAATTAGTCCCTAGGTCTTTTTGTGTTAAGTCCTTAGGGTCTTTTTTATTTGTTTTTGGTTCCATAGAAGAGTCTAGAAGGGTCACTAGGCTTAATGGATTAATTCGAATTGGGCCAAGAATTGGGCTCTAAAACTCTTAAAATTGTGATCCAACACCATAATTGACTCCTTTTTAAAATAAGATAAAAATACTACACAATGCAAAAGCTAACATGAAACTATTATATATTTTTTGTATTTTCAAGATTATGTAAAGAAAAAAATAAGGTACTATTTTTGTATATTTTTATTTAAATTTATGAAAGATACGTAAGCTAAAATATTTTTTATAATTTTTCATTTTTATGACGAAAATAAAGTAAAGAAGTCAAAAATAGTTGAAATAGCTATATTAGGCCTAAATTAAATATTTACATGCTAAAATATAAAAAATCTTGGGGAGGGTCAAAAATCACATGTCTACAGCTGCCCCTCTTTGACTGGAAACGCGAAGCGTTTTCGGACAAAGAACGACTAGACAGTTATTTTGACCCGACCCTTATTTAAAGAGACCAAAACTAAGAAAAAAGAGGAATGTGACCGAGCCCTGGTATCTGAGCTACCTACATATCCTTGGATATAAAGGAATCAGGCCACGTGTAGTTCAGAAGTGAGTGCGCTGATGGAGTATATTGAGGTGGAGAACCGATTGAGGTGTCATCAAGGTTCTGGTCTGCGGTCCTGTTATTACATCAAAAATCAAAAAAAATAAGAAAGACTAGCAAGGCTGTCAACTGTGAGTTACAAGATTCCTATCTATAAGTCTTCTGAAGCTTGATCTCGAGTCTTGAATGGTTCTTCATGCAGACTTTGGATTTGAACCCTGATGCTTGCTAGTTGCAGGTGCTAGTTCATTCTTCCTTAGCTTTTCGGACCAAACCCGGACACCACACCATGCTTGTGACTTCAGTCATGTCTTAAGCAGCTCACATCTTCCATCAACTTCTGCATTTGGATTAACTTTTTGCCCTTGTCCTTTTTCATTATTAACTAACTTCTGTTGATCACCTCGGACTGTTGACTCGCATTATTGCCGTGAGCTTCTTTTGTTGCTGACTTGAATTACATTCTGAAGTGAATTCTCTTATTCTCCAGGTGGACGCCTGATTACCGACACTTAAATTGTTTCCCTTCCTTAAAACTGGTGTTGTTCTCCCTTGCTCTCCAGGTGGGCGCCTGATTGCCAAAACTTTAACTATATTCCCTTGATTTCCAGGTGGGCACCTAATTACCACATCCTTAGTTGTACTCCCTTGCTCTCCAGGTGGGCGCCTGAATACAATATTTGAACTATACTCCCTTGCTTTCCAGGTGGGCTCCTAATTACCAAAACCTTAGCTTTACTCCCTTGCTCTCTAGGTGGGCGCCTGATTACAATGCTTGAACTGTATTCCCTTGCTTTCCAGGTGGGCGCCTGATTGCTGAAACTTGAAATGTACTCCCTTGCTCTCCAGGTGGGCGCCTGATTGCCAAAACTTGAACTATATTCCCTTGCTCTCCAGGTGGGCGCCTGATTGCCAAAACATTAACTATATTCCCTTGCTCTCCAAGTGGGTGCCTGATTGCCAAAACTTTAATTGTATTCCCTTGCTCTCCAGGTGGGCGCCTGATTGCCAAAACTTTAACTGTATTCCCTTGCTCTCCAGGTGGGCGCCTAATTTCCAAAACTTGAACTGTATTCCCTTCCTCTCCAGGTGGGCACCTGATTGCCGAAACTTCAACTGCATTCCCTTGCTCTCCAGGTGGGTGCCTGATTGCCAAAACTTTAATTGTATTCCCTTGCTCTCCAGGTGGGTGCCTGATTGCCAAAACTTTAATTGTATTCCCTTGCTCTCCAAGTAGGCGCCAGATTGCCAAAACTTGAGCTGTATTCCCTTGCTCTCCAGGTGTGCGCCTGATTACCAAAACTTGAATTGTATTCCCTTACTCTCCATGTGGGCGCCTGATTGCCGAAACTTGAATTGTATTCCCTTACTCTCCAGGTGGGCGCCTGATTGCTGAACTTTAACTATATTCCCGTGCTCTCCAGGTGGGCGCCTGATTACCAAACTTGAACTGTATTCCCGTGCTCTCCAGGTATGCGCCTAATTACCAAACATGAACTGCATTCCCGTGCTCTCCAGGTGGGCGCCTGATTGCCAAAACTTTAACTGTATTCCCGTGCTCTCCAGGTGGACGCTTGATTGCCAAAACTTTAACTGTATTCCCGTGCTCTCCAGGTGGGCACCTGATTGCCAAAACTTTAACTGTATTCCCTTGCTCTCCAGGTGGCCACCTGATTGCTGAACTTCAACTGTATTCCCGTGCTCTCCAGGTAGGCGCCTGATTGCCAAAACTTGAACTGTATTCCCGTGCTCTCCAGGTAGGCGCCTGATTGCCAAAACTTGAACTGTATTCCCGTGCTCTCCAGGTGGGTGCCTAATTGCCAATACTTTAACTGTATTCTCTTGCTCTCCAAGTGAGCGCCCGATTGCCAAAACATTAACTGTATTCCCTTGCTCTCCAGGTGGGCGCCTGATCGCTGAACTTTAACTGTATTCCCTTGCTCTCCAGGTGGGCGCCTGATTGCCAAAACTTCAACTGTTCATCTGAAACTGCTGCCTTTGAACCTGATTACAACAAAATAAAAGAAATTTTCCTGCCCCAGTTTGGTGATGGGCGCATCTATGAGTGTTAATTGAATCATGTCACCAAATATCTTTATGAATTTGAAAGCTAAATCCCATTATCCAGGAGGGTCCTGAGAACTCCTAGTTAAATGATAGTTTTAAATCTAAATTATATCTTCTAAAGGTGTGACTTCCACTAAATCTTATTATCTAAGAGGATCTTAAAACTACATCACATTATCCAGGAGGGTCCTGAAAATCAACAATCAGATCTTATGTTAAAAGTGATAATTTTTACGGCTGAATTATAATACCCTTCAACAAAACTTACGCTAAATCTTGTTATCTAATGGAAATCTTCAAGCTAAGTCCCATTATTCAGGAGGGTCCTGACAATTTCGAATTGTTTCCTATCCTAAGAATGAAAACTTCAAAGCCGACTTATATTTCTTTGGGGTAAGACTTATGCTAGATCTTGTACTCATGATTGTTTTGAATTTTAAACTAGGTCCCATTTTCCAGGAGGGTCCTGATAATTTACGGTCAAACCTGTCTGGTACTTGCTTTTCCTTACGGAGGGTTTCTTCGAAACAAACGAAATTTTCTGCCCCTATTTCCAATCAAGAAAAATCTTGTCAGTTTTAAAATATGGTGGTTGGTTTGTGGCCTTGACTTTGAGGACGTTTGCTCTTTCGCTTCCCACGATAACTTTGATTTCCACTCGAAAACCTTGCTTGTTTATTTACCAACCACTTTCTTTGTCACCCGTATCACAGAAAATACCTTTTCTCCGTTCATACACAATACCTTCTATCTGTTGTATTGCTCATGAACTGACATTTACCAAACCTTTGTGTCTCACATGAATCCCAAAGCACGTCTATTACCACCGACTCAGTGCGTATGCTATTCCTTCTTGACTTAAACCACTGGCCTTGGCCTTGAGGTCTATTGCTCCATCACTTGCCATAATAACTTTGATTTCTGCTTGGAAGACCTTGCTTGTCACTGGTTAACCACTTTCTTTTGTCAATTTTATCACAGAAAATACCTTTGATATGTTCCAAGCCAACACCCTCTATCTGTTGCATTGTTCATGAATTGACATATACCGATCCTTTGTATTTCACATGAATCTCAAAGCACGTTGATTGTTACCAAGTCAGTGCGTTTGCTGCTCTTTTCCTGACTTATGCCACTTTGATATGCTAGCCAGATCCCATTTTGTGCAATTGGAAAGATAGTGGCAAATTTTGAAGTCATTTCTCACTTGTTTTTCCCAAACAGACTCAGGAAGAGGAAGTAAACAAGACAAAAGGAACAGAATAAAGGACAATGGAACGAGACGATTCCTAACAAGAAAACTACAAAGTAGAAACTTATCAGATGTGGATACCAACTCTAATGACCATGACATGCACCTTTGGAGTAAGTGGCCTAATCTGTCAAGCAAGTCTGATGTTCAGCTCTTGTTATACCCCTAAACCGTGAAATTGGGCTTCAATGCTCCGATTATCCNAATGCTCCGATTATCTAATTTGATTGACAATCCTTATTCGACTTGTAGTGCCCGAAAGGTTTTCACTATCAAGCCTCTCTCATTTTGTTATTTCTCTCGACTCACCGTCGCCTTATGGTGGTCGTGAAGGTTTTCACCGATAAGACTCTCTCATTTTTGTTTTCTTTATGTAGCATAGAGTGCTGCCCCTGGTGCGAATCATACCTCAATCTCGCTTGACTTGGCATTCTCAAGTATTGGTTAGAATGTCTTTCTTTGGATCGTAATGTAGGCTTTTGGATAGGGTTAGAAAGAAATGATATCAAAAGGCTCAAAACCACTTGAATGGATTCAAAATTACAACTTTTGGAATCAGATTTCTTACAACAATCACAACTTTCTGCCCCAGTTTCTTTGCTTGGGGAATTTTGAATTTTTATTTTGATGGGACCGAACCGTGAGGCTGCCTACGTATCCTTAAAAGGAATC